GGGCTTTGTGCTCTTAGCAGCCTCTTGTGTTGTGTTCTTCAGGGGCTCCCCAGTGCCTCCTGGCCGAGGCCCTAGGCCGTGTTCACCCAGGAGGCTCTCAGGGAGTGGGTATTAAATGGTGAATCCCATGTTTCCGGTGTGGGGCTGAGTTCTCGAGTGGTACCAGGACAGACAAGCAGATGGTGATAACGATGAAGTTATTAGTGGGAGGGCTGTGAACTTGGGGAGATACCCAGACTGATTCTGTGCTCACGGCATTTATTTTGGTGGTATTTTCTCTCTCACACATCAAGCTTTGCAGAGAGGCCCAGACCAAGAGTATTATAAAAATATTATCCCGCATCTATTGTGTAGTTTAATACTGTCAGTACCGCTACTACTGAGCTAACACATATTAGGAGTCATGTGCCCAGTGTTCTCCAAGTTCTTTTCACTCATTATCCCATTGACTCCTACCTCAACCCCTTCTCAGTAAATGTGAACTTTTCCCCATTTTACCAATGAGGACTCTGGTTTCCTGAGAAGTGACATGACCTATCCAAGGTTGTAGCCAGGAATGGTGTGTTTCTATTTTAAAGATGAGAATGCTGAGTTCCTACAGCATGAGGAGATATTTAGTTAGCCCAGGCTGCTATATCAGAATACCACAAACTGGATGGCTTTTGAAAAACAGAAATTTATTGTTCACAATTCTGGAAGCTGGGAAGTCCAAGATTAAGGCATCAACAGATTTGGTGTCTGGTGAGGGCTATCTTTCTGGTTCATACATGACCATATTTTTGCGGTATCATCGCATGGCAGAAGGCACAGGGGAGCTTACAGGCACCTCTTTTATAAGGGCACTAATCCCACTCATCAGAGCTCTGCCCCTCAAGACCTAATTGCCTCCCAAAGGCCCCACAAATACTATCACATTGGGGTTTAGGTTTTAGCATATGAAGTTTGAGGGACACAAACATTCAGTCACCAAGAAGGGGGCAGAAAGAAGGGCTGGGACTTCCTAGTTTGTGTGTATCCACTTCCTCCAGGGACTTTGGTCCAAGTTGTCCAGTTCTGTGATTCTCAAACTGGAGCGTGTATTAGAATCACCTGGAAGATGCATTAAAACAGAGATAGCCGTGTTTCTGGTTCCCCAGGGGTTCTGGTTCCCTAGATCAGGGATGAGGCCCGAGGATTTGAATTTTTAACAAGTTCCAAGTAATGCTGCTGATCAGGGACCACACAGTGAGAACACACAGTGCACCCCCATCTTCTCTCTGTCCCTGGGCTTTCAGTGGCCCAGGGCTTGGTCTTTGAGATCATCAGAGCACCCTAGAGACAAACATTATCATATCCTGATACCTCCAGGAAGCTCACACAGTAAGGGAACGGCTTAATTGGGTTCAGCGGATGAAATTTTCACAAGCTGTAATGGCACCAGGCAGATCCCAGAAAGTCCAGGGTGTTAATGAGGTCTCTGGGTGCTGGAATGGAGCCCAAGCAGGGCAAGAAATTGCCAGGAATAGGAAGTTTTTCCTCCTCAAGAAAGATCAATCTACAATTTTGGAAAGCGGCCTAAGTGTGGAGACTGATGCCCAGGCTCAACCAAGGGTTTACAGATGGGCAGGGTCATTTCTGGACACTTGCCAGGGACAGACTTTGAAACATGAGCTCACTAAACAATCCTCTGAGGCGGATTGAAAGGCAGTGGGAGAAACAGACAGACTGGAGTCTAGCCAGGCAGTTTCTGGCATTTTCCTCTACCCATCCACACCCACAAGTCATGGGGACTGATTCAGAATTGATTTTGAGGCTCAGCAGGGGTGAGCTGCCTGGGGAGGCTCCTGATAGACTCCGTGATAAAGGTTCTTCCTAGAGGCCCCTGGAGAAGTCCTTCTCACACCAAGAATGCTGGCTTTGAGCAGGACCCTGTCACCCAGTGTCAGGATCCACCTTTTCTTTCCTTTTCCCCTTTACACAAATATTTATCCATTCAAAACTGTTTATTAAACCATTTACTATGGGCAAGCGCTGAGAAGATGCTGGGTATATGGCTGCCAACAAGACAGGGAAGATCTCCACTCTCCAGAAGCTGATTTTCAAGGGTGGGGGAAAAACAATAAACTTGAAAACAAATAAAATATTGACAAATTGAAGAAAATAAACAGGATGCTCTGAGAGATGAATAGTGGGGCACCTATTTTAAAGAGTAATCAAGTCAGGCTTCTCTGAGAAGACAGCATTTAAGCTTAGGACTAAAAGAGGGAGAGAGGCAGAAGGAATATAAAGGGATGAAGGCCTTGAGGCTGGAAAAGGCAAGAGTGTGTAGGAGCCATCACAAGGTGGCCAGAGCATAACAGGGAGAGTGGCAGAGACCGAGGCCAGAGAGATGGCAACAAGAATCAGACCATGCACTAAAGAGTCTGGATTGTATTTGAGATGCTGTGAGGGGTCTAGGCAATAATCATTAGTGGCTGCTGCTGAAAATACCGGTGAAACGCTGATGGGAAACCTGACAGCGGAGGGATCCGGCTGACATCTGAGCCCACTGATTAGGCTTAGCATCAAAGAGAGAGAACACTAAACAATTTGATCAAGCCTCTATATCTAACTACTAATTACAGGAAATACATGAGACGGAGAGTAGAACATGGAAGATGACATCACGAGGGAGCAGTCAGCAAAATCCAGTCTGTGAAAAACTCTACAGACAAATTACCCAGTGGTTTGTATGACAAATAAATTGTAGGGAA